CTCCTTGTTTTAACAGAGGCAACAGCATTTTATTTAATCCACCTAGAAGCAAGGACAGAATCAGAACTGATATACAGCTAGTGCTGGTTAGAACTTGGAATTACTATTTTGTGAAGAATGTCAACATTTTGACATTTGTTGCTATTCTCAGGGTAGAAAGGAACTGCATATTCATCTGGAAATTTTGAAATGTCACGTTGAAATCACAAATTCAACTCTGAATTTTGGAATTTTGCCTTTTATTTCACTGTATATTAGCTTTCTGGTTAAATACTAAAGTAGAATATTTTAAATAAGCCTTCTTCATTTTACTTGCTTTTGCTTTATTTTAGCGTTTTAAAACTATGGGAAACCGCTGTCTCACACTGACAGAAAAACAACTTCAACCATCATTTTACACCATCTCTGAATCCCATGCAGTGGAAATTTTCAATACAGTGACTTTTGGGAAGAGGACACTTGGGTGGAGAGATGAGATTTTGGGGGAGAATACACTCAAGGGCAGGCAGACAGCATACAGCAAATTGCCTGCCTTTCTCCACAAGCAAAAAGCAACACTAAGAAAAAATACATCCCTGTGACAGCAGGAGGGAATCTGGCAGACTGCATTTATTCATCTACAGAGAACAAAAAATTCCTGGTCGCTAGATTAAGAGCAAACAGCAAGAACATTAGTCTCAGTTCAAACGCAAGTGCTGGAGGTATCTACTTTATGTGAGTGATGGCAGACTGTAAAAATTATTAAACCAGTACAGGAGAAGTGCATCAGTCATAGCAAAGGACACTGGTGAGCAGATGTTTCTGAGGCAAAGATGAAACTTCCAAGTGAATGTCTCCATCACAGGTATTAAATCAGTGGAAAAACTGACAAAAGTGGTGTAAAATGAGAAAACAGTGAGCTGTCCCAGTCCCCTTTTGGGCACTGCAAGTTTCATGAGACTGTCAATGCTGGTTGCAGCAGACAGCAAAGAAACACAACCTCCAGCAGCGCGGAAACAATGTGGTGGTTGAGGTCTGCTAATCACGAGTGGCTACCACCACCTAAACCATGCCAAAAGCGTAAGCTGCCTCGTTAATTTTACCTCCTGATTTCCAGCTGTCTCCCCACTTAATTTCCATAGTGCTAGAACGGTGCACAATGCTGAAGGGATGTCTGAAGAGGAGGTCATGCTCCATATGCACCGATGCCTGAATATGTGTAGATAGGGACAAGAGGACTTGTGGGGGCTAACTGGGTTAGGAAACTCGTATACTTGTGCCATGTGAGTGAGAACAGACACAGCTACCAAAGGGTCACCGCTGCCTTACTCATTCCAGCAAATCTACAGCAAAGGGGTGTGGATTTGGATGCTATACTAAGTCAGAGCCACAAGGCACTTTTGTCTGCCCCAAATTGGCAGATCGTTCTCAAGAGATCAATGTTTTTGTTAAGATTTTCACCCTTATGGACCAAAACCACAAGCTGTCTCAACTGATTTCAGTGGCACCCAGTCTGGATGCCGAAAATGTGCAGGTCCTTTTGGGAGGGAATGTGGTTTCCCAGACCTATGTATAGGTTCAGAAAGAGGAAGGAGAGTACAAGGGATCCAAGACCTAGGAAGGACAGACCTCCCAGATGTCTACAGCGGCCACCCCTCAAATACACCAGAAGCCATATGAGGTCCCTAAAAGATCCACAAAGCCACCTGGGAGACACACAATTGTGTCTCAAAAACACTCAAACATGACCTAAAACAGTGAAAGGACCTAGACCTATTTGGAGGTATAATAGCTCAACAAGGGTATTTGGTGTCTTAACCAGTCTAGCACAGAAACATCTGATGATAGCTGAGCTGGCCAGTGGTGGGAGTTTCAACTTGTTTTGGCCACAGTGCAAACTTGAAGGAATTCTCCATGTCAGAAACTGGCTTTGCCATTTTTGTTTTCTGCTGTGGACATCTTGGTGCCAGAAATCAGCGTACCTAGTGAGTCACCCTGGTCTTTTGTTCTCTGGCCTTTGGGAGGGGAGAAGTTAAGGGAGAGGCTTCAGAATTTGACTTGGCCTGAGCAGGCACAGCACCACTGGCAAAAAGCATGAGAGTAGCTGGTCATGTCACATGTTTCTGTGATGGTCTCATGACAACTCCACTGCTGCTCTTACAGAAATCCCTACCACCTACCATCCAGAGGAGAAAGCTCATGAAGTTTTTGGCCAGGAACGCCCTTGAAGCACGTGAAGGTTTAAATGAGGACATGCACTCCACTAGTTCATTTCCTAACTAGGACTAGGGTGTTAATGCTAGAGAGGGTGCTACAAAAGACTAAAATGCACAGAGGTTTCACATGCGTGACTCTCACTTCCATAACTGGCCCAAGGACAGAATGCAAGGCAGTAAGTGTGTGAGTAAAACTCATTGTTCTCAGTGGGCTTTAAAAACCAGTACAGATTATTTGCTGTTCCCATACCAATCCAGATTTATTTTGGATCAGCAGCGACTTCAACACGATTAGCACGCAGCAAAAAACACAGAGCCACAGAACCATGAACCTCTCCCTAGCCAGAATGCAAAAATATAAACATCCTTTTTTTTTGTTTGCCCTTTAAAAACCCTAAACAAATTTAATGAAAAATTTTACCTCTCACAGTGATGGATCATGGTATGTATTATAATTAAGGACCATGAACTTCTCATCTGACATGGATTTGTTACAACATCTTTAATATTTTGCACACTAAGTGCGTTCAAAATTAAGAATGCACTTTTTTGAATACATTTAGAAATTGTTTTATATTTTAAGATCATTCCCTTGCAAAATGAAAAATTCCTGAAGGTCTTCTTGCATTTTATGAGATATGTATTAATGCCTGTTTCTTACCCTGGCTTCTCAAATCAATTTTCTTAACTGAAAGGGCTCAAACCAACCTTGAAAAGGCAAAACACAACAAAAGGCAGAAGCCAGTTTTGTGTAGGAAGATATGTTAAAATTCACATTGTAACCAACAAGTCAAATTATAGTGACAATTCTCCCTACCAGATATCTGGCTCTGACATAGCCTTCCTTTTTTTTCCTGTAAACAAAATCATTACAGAGTAGATTTTATGAATGAGTTAGTCTGCAAAGGAAGAGAAAAACGTAAGGTAAAACTGGACAACACTGTGTCATCGGCAAATCATACAGTGTTTTAATACTGAGCATTTGCTGTTAGACTGTAAGATTCTTCACCAATTAAACTATATATTTTACAAAGCAGCAATCAAGCAGAGTCTGCCACCAATGTGTTAGAGAAGAGTTGTAAGTTTCAAAAATGAAATAGATACACAGATATTTAGCAGGCTGGTAGTGAATTAAAGTTCTGGAGGGATCTATCACCAAGCAGATAATAGTCTGTTTTGCAGAAGAACCGAAATTATTTTTATAGAGACATGTATGAAGTATTTCTGCATGTGTATTTGCAAATGCCATGTGCACACACACAAACATATATATATATATAAAAAAAAGAAATGCATATATGAAACCTCAAACTTGATCTAAATTAAATTGTCCTTCCAGCTTTGTAATGCAAATGAGACTAACAGGCTTGTGCTGTTTGTGGTTTGAGATGATTTGTGTTTCCATAGAGATGCTGACTGAAGTAAAGTTTTTGAATTTTTTATATATATAAGCCTACTTGTATCTATAAAAGTCTAAATATGGATCTGCCGTACCTCAGCATTTCCTCAGTAACTCCACTGGAACCACAACGATTTACACCAGTTAAGGTTATGTGCAAATTTTGTGTCTTTCACTATTTTCCAATTTAAGCTCCGAGAGTTTATTACTTCTCTCCCCACTCCTAGCTTCTCGGTAAGGAAGTGGAAGAAAAGAGAAAAAGCAGTTTCTTAGCAGCTAGCAGATAATATTTCAAGGACTTCTGTAATTTATTGCCCTCTCTAAACTGCCTGGAGAAACATCTTTGCCTTCAAAAGTTCCCACTGTCAGGAAATCTGGAATTTGGGGAAAACAGTCTGTGTGCTGCTAGTGAAGGAAATGCCAAAAGGACAGACTTTCTGTTACGTGTCAGAAGCTTTTTCCCCTTCTTCTGTGAGCAGCCACAAGCTGAAGAGCTGGGATGTGCTGACATGAGCCAGGGTGGGCCTGGCCAGCAATGGTTTCACTGCCTTTCCACCTGGGCTTGGCTGTCCTCAGCCTTCAGTGGAGCCTAAGCTTGTCATACACTACGAGGACCCCACAAAGCTAAAGTGCCTGTGTGTCCTCAGAGCCATACTGGAGATGGTCACCAGCAGAAGCAACAAAAGCCAGACAGGGTCAAAGTCTGGGCAGCAAGACCAGGCAGACCAGTTTAACTATTTCAAATTGGCTTCGCTTTATGAGGTCCGGGCACCAGTTCAAGTGGATGGAGGTGACGTGGAGTACCATCACGTGAGAGGAAAATCAGAGCTGAGCTCTGTGGGAACTCATTTCCATGTGGTTTCAGTGATAAGTGATTTTTGAACAGCGACACACCAGAGGTCAACCTCTGCAATCACTCTGAACCACAATCAAAACCAGCCTCTTTGGTACCTCCTATCTGCCTGAGAAGAGGAAGGATTTGTCCAGTGAACCAGAGGTGTTCACAAGCACACGGAGCAGAAGCTCCCACCCAACCTCTCATTTGATCTTGGGAGGGCCCGTAAGGGAAGACCCAAGTGCAGCAACACCGTACAGAGGTACGGCCAGCGAGGTCCTCGGGCAACGGCAAGTCAAGGGACACATCCTCCCTCCTGCCCGCAGGGTGATACCACCTCCCTGACAGTGGCTGAGGGCGTTTCTAAGGTCCCACAAAGGCCACTTTTCAAATCAGATGAGAGTTCCCCATTTCCAGCTTCTAAGAAGCCATATGGAAGGAGACCTGCCCCAAGCCCCCGCAGGCACCCTTTAACTCCCCACACCACCTTTCAGGAAGGGTCCCAGAGCACGTTCAGCCGCGTGGCTCTCCGCTCCCCCAGGACGGCTGGCAAGCACCCACGTCTCCTTACCTTTTGCTGCAGCGTGGGCGGCTGCGGGGCCAGCACCGGGTCGGTAATGTAGGTCTTCTTCGTGCTGGGCGGCTGGTAGAGCCCAGGAGGAGCCTGACCCACGGTGTTACTAGCAGGATATGTTGGCTCAGCCTTCCAGGAGCTCTGTGGCACATAGGGCGCTTCGGAGCCGTTCCTCCCCCCATACCCCCCATAGTAGGGGTCCTGGTAGCGGCCCTGCGGTGGTGCATAGCCGTAGGTGGGCTCCGAGGGCCGGGCAGGCGGCGGGGTGTAGCCGTAGTCGGGCCCATGGGGCTGCGGAGGGCCGTACTGCAGGGCGCCGGGCGGGCGGGATGGCGGGGGAGCGTAGGGCTGGCCGGGCCCGAGGCTGCCATAGTGCGTGGGCTGCGGGCCGGGCGGCTGGTAGTGCGGGCTGGGCTGCGCCGTCCGAACCTGGACGTTGAAAGCCGGGCGGCTGGGGGTGGAGGCCGTGGCGTAGGAGGCCGGCACCGGTTGCGGCTTCAGGGTGCCGACGGGAGTGACCGGGATGGGGGCTGGCTGCCCTGGGCCCTTGGTGGTGGACTTCTTGGTGGCGGTGAGGGGAGGCTGGTTGGGGATGATCATCCGTTTGTGGCCAGTGACAGGGGTGGACACGGATGGGGTGGTGGCGGCGGAGCTGCTCGCGGTCCCAGAGCCCTAGGGAGCAAGGAGAGAGAGCCGCAGCGTCAGCAGGAGGGGCCGGCTCGGGCATCAGGTCAGGAAGCGAGGGGTTAAGTGGAAATGGGGTTTTACAGTAACATCTGCGCAGCAACTCAAACTGCTTAGGAAAGCAGGAATGTACCTGAGACCACATGTTATAAAATGGTAATAGCAACCCTTCCCTGCTCTGACAGAACAGGGACAGCGCCGCGGCAGCCAAGCAGAACTGTTGTGCACGGCGTTTCGTCTCTCCTTGGAGTTTTCTCCTCTGCCTCCAAACAAACAAACAAACTAAAAAGCAATAAACGCAAGAAAAAAAGGAGACTCGCTAGAGAATAATTAGGGGAAAACCCATGCATTCCTGTGAAAACTAAAGTGTTTTGAAAAAGAGAAAATAAGATTACAGTCTCTACAGAGACGTGAAATTCCTTGGGTCCCTAGAGCGCTTGTAGGGTACTGCCCCCCGATATGGGAGCTCCTTTAACAACGCAGGAGGCAGCAGAATGGGATAGCCTAAAAGCATGTCCCAAGCTGTAAGAATTAACTCAGATCAAAGCAAAATAGGGAGGTGTCCCTGTCGCTGGCTCTTCTCCTAAGCACTGCTGGTTGAAGTCCTGACCCCAGAGAAGGCAAATGTTACACACGGCTCGTTAAAGGGCAGAAAGCGGGCCAGGATTCTCAAGATCTTCAGAAGTCAGCTCCCACCATGGCAGCCATGTAACCCTGCACCAGTGCCCGAGGCACAGCAGTGCTCGGGCAGCCAGGGAAGAGATTCACAGCAAGTGCCGCCACTTCCTGCCATTTGGCCACCAAATGAAGATTTAGTGCAGTGACACTGTCCTAATAGGCATCATACATCCTTGTGTCTAATGTACTTGTTTGTCTGGCTTAACTTATATTTAAATCCCACGTCCAAAAACACTGGTGTGAAAGGACATCTTTGTAAAGAGCTAATTATTATTGAAATAGTTTCCAAAGAACACTGAAGATCACCCTTAAGTCTTTTCACTAAATCAAAGAAGAGCAAACTTGAATTTCGGGAGTTTAGAATCAGGTAAAATTTCCTGCCTCTCTATTTTCCTTTATTCTGAAAGAGTACCTGAATTTCACGCCTTCCTGTACAGAGATGCATTAAAGTGAAGACATGCAGCTTAACAGTATTTCTCTGCTGTTACACTTAACACCATAGTTATATAAGATTATATCTCATCCAAATTTCCTCCACTGGACTTGATCTCACGCATGATCTGTTTGATAACCTACAAGTTCACCGCATTCCCAAGTCAGAGCAGCTCAGCCCTCATCAATGGTTGCGTTCATGCTAAAGCATGTGCCACCTTTCTCTAAACGGCCAATCTTGTATTTGTCCCCAGGTGTTCCTGCTTTATGCAGGCACCCTGACCTCTACCTACTACCCCATCACCCTCTTGCTGGGGCTGCTGGACAGGGGAAAGTGCAGTGGGGGGTTCATCGGGACACTCCATGCACAAGCTCTACCTGGGTCAGAGAAATCCTCTGCCTGGTCAGCAGGTGGCGGCAATTAATTGCTGCCAAACCAACCCAGGTCAGTGGCTAGAGAGGAACTCCAACCACCCATTTCTTTGGGCCTCCAAGAGTATCAAACTCGCCTTCCATAGAAGGTGGGAGAAGGCAGACATTCCACACATCCCTCCAACATTTGGCAAACACTACATATGAAGAAAAGGGAGGTAAGAGCAAGCTGCTTAACTTCTAGTCCACAGCCCACAATCAAGTCTACCAAAGGAATAAGGAAGCTCTGCTACCCACTCTTCCCTAGTGACGTGCAAATACATTTTTGCTGATGCATTGCTAAAGACCTTACTCCTGCAATCACACCTTCAGGGCAAATCTCCCATGAAAGTACACCTCCCATGAAGAATCACTATAAATGAGCAAAAAAACAGGCAAATAACAGCATCAATCTGTTTTGAGAGATGAGAAAGGTGTGTATGCAGAGGTGGGTAATAAGAAGACAGCAAATTACTGCTGGAGAAAAAACATCTCAATGTATTCAAACCTTGACCTTGCCAACAGATCCATGACAAGGCAGTACATAGACTGAAGAGATTTTGAAACTGAGAGCAAAGAAGAGCTGAAGCATGTCTCAGTTGAACTACAAGGGCAGAGACGGGTTAAGGGTCTGTAGCCTTCCATTAATACTGCCTGATTCTTCTATTTCTGAAACACCTGATGGGGAGCAGGCATTCCTCAATCCCTGTGTCAGAGCACAACTGTACCAGAACTCATTGCTAGAAAGAAAATTTGCTTTCTGTCAGACTTATTCTCCCATGTCAGCTTGGCATTTATGCCTGGGAGTGCTAGAAACTTTCCCATTTCTTCACCTATTTAATTCTTGTAAATGACAGTAGTTTGTCCACTTACTGTAATGGGATGAAAGGTCCACAATGCGGCACTGTGTAATTACCACCAGAAAAGCATTTTTCTTTTCCATGTGAAGAGGGAGAAGGTAGATAATGTTTTAAAGACAATGGCCTACTGGGGGGAGGGGGAAAGCCCAAATCAAAACAACAGAAATGAGCCCTATTCATCACATCTTATGTTTCTGAATGCAGATTCTGGAAGCAGGTGATGACAGACTGCTAGTAAAGCTCTTGCGATGGAAGTCTATTCCATCCCAAGAACTGGGAGACTTTAATCTTACATATAAACATCCACATAAGACTTCACTCAATGTGTTGATGCTAGTTTCCTGCCTGGACTGGAATATACCTTAAGAATGAATGATACTCCCCTTTCTCCAAAAAACCCCTTGCTGCCTACTGACTGGCACTCTGAAAGGCTCTGAGCAGCTCGCATGTTCAACACTATAAAGAGGATGAGCTGAGAGTCTCTCCTCCTGCATCAGAGCCCAGTGAAGGAAGGTGGCAAATTGGGGGTGCCTGGGTCAGAGACCAAGCTTTGCCATCAGCTCATCAACTTCACAGCAAAGGCTTGAGCTAACAAGTACCGGCTGCATTGTGGCATTCAAACCACAGGCTGCCTTGAGGAGGAGGAAGTTTGCATCAGTAGGAGTCCCCAGAGGCACCCTGTGTGACTCATTCTGAATTCCTCTGAGGGTGCTGGGCAAGTGTGTGATGAAATCTGGGCTTTAGGGGGAGGAAGAGGGTGTAAGGCTAGTTAATGTGGTGTAGTAGAGCAGGTTAGAGGGAACTTAATACTACTGGAGCATTGATGATTTATGGGGACGCAAAGAGGAATATTGGCTATAGCTCCTAAGCAAGAGCACAGGTGAGGTATCACCATAAATCCTCTGCCCTTTTGCCTGAGAGAGATGAGTGGCCACGGTCCAGCCTTCTGTATGTCTAGCCATGCACTCAGATATCACCCCAGACTTAAACCTCTAGATTATTCATGGATTAAGAAAAGACTTTATAAACACACATGAACTATGGACAAGATTCCTGCTCTGAAGACAGGCATGTGCAGAAAGATGAGAAAAGGGTACTCAGATACCACAGGGAAGAGTGATTTCAACAGATGTCTGGAAGGCACTAGGAGGATAGGAGAGATGGATGAGACTATAAAGATGCCAGGTAGATGGAGAGGGAGTAATGAACAGAAATCTGGAAAGGGCTACCTATATCACTGGGAACAGTCCTAGCAAAACAGATGACTCTCACAAATGTTTCATCCAAATGAGTCCACAGAACTACTAGCACAACAAAGTAGACTCATCCAAAAGCACATGGAAGTGACAACCTAGAAGCATGAAAACAAGTAGAAACAGGAGAAAGACGAAGGGGAAAGACAAGGATCGGATTCATAGGAGTGCAGGCATCCCTTCCTCCAGCAGCTCCTGGACAGCTCATTTCAAAACCATATTGCATTTGCAAGTGACTATTGCAGTCAAACACGCTCTCTGACATCCTCTAAGGGCTGTTTTCAGAGGAAGACATGCTTTCCTCTGCTCGCCATGCACTAAATGAAACTGTCTGACACACTTTGCAAGTGCAAATTAGAACCACGCTACTTACCATCAACTCCTTCTTGCAAATTCATATTTGCAAAGAGAGAGTAAACTAGAAACCCCAGGTGCTGATAACGCAGAGTTGTTAAGAGAAACAAGAGTAGGAAGGAGTTAAATTCAGAACCTCATCTACCACAAGTATTATAATACAATTTTTTTTTTTTTTTTAATGGGGAAAGCACAAAAGCCTTGTTTAAACACAGATGGAAGTACCTAAATGTTCTGCCTCTTCTACAAATGAATTATCCAGCAGTTCAAATAAAGGTGAACTAATACTGACAAAATCAAGTAAAACTCAATCAATGTGGGAGGAAAAAAACCCCCAAAAGAGTTCTCCTAAAAAAAGTTACTATGTGTAACCATGAGGGGAATCATTTTGCTTGGTAACTCCTGCCCTGTTTTCTTAAATGCAGTGTAAGTTTATAAACATTTGCAGGAGTTTCTTGTACCAACCATCATACAGGAAGTCTCTGGTGGTGTGATAAACCCATGCTGTCCTGGGCGTCTGTCAAAGCTGGGTTATCTGGATTCAAAGCTACCCTGGTGGGGAAACCCAAAATCCTGAGTATCTGTGTGATTATTCATTCTGTAGAAAATATTTACATAGATCTTAAATTAATTCAGTGTATACCTACAACTAAAAAAGTCACCACATAGGTACTAGGAATGGAACCTGCTGTTCTGTAGAAATTAGCCTATATTTCTATACCAAATGTCGGGGTTAAATCTTAAAAAGAGTACAGAATAACTACAGTCTACAGCAGGAGCATGATTCTATATGATCAGCTGGAACTCTTATGAAAAGGACTTCATTCTCCTTTTATTTTGTGCATTTGTAGAGTATTTTCTATACAGTCCCTTCAGTTATTCAGTTTCACAGGCTGGATCAAAATGCCAACACAAAGTTTATCACATTCTATTCAATTCTCCAGGCATTTTTTATAAAGGTACAGTTGAATAGCTTTAGCCCTTTAGCTGTCAAATTATC